GAATGGGAACATACTGATTACAAAATGGCTTCATACATTATTGCAAAACACGTTTACTATTCTTCAGTCCGCTATACCACAGAAACACACTAGCCGAAAAGCATTTAAACGGAGCCATGATGCGCTTTTAGCAGGGCACAGAACTGAAGGTGGCTGGGCTCGGAACGGAAATCAGGCGGGAGCTGGTTCCACAGGACTGCGCCGATGAACTGCATGGTCGCTCGACCCGCAGGACCGGGCCAAAATGGTACTCGAACGAGGTGATGTGCTGCTCCCCGAGTGCGGTCACCAGTAACTCTCACGAAGAAGCTGGTGAAGAGGGAGCTAGCTCGGGAGAACAGACAACGACGGACAAAGATGAGGAGCTTAATGTTAAACATGTCCTCCAGGGTAGTGAGGCGGAGCTGGTCAAAGATTGGGCTCGTGCGCGACCACGGTGGCAGACCGAAGAAGCCGCGGATAGCGCACTTCGTTAGACGTGTGAGGGGCTCCATGTTGCCAATTTGAAGTGACGGATAAAAGGCGTTGGAAGCGTACGACAACCTACCTTGGCTCATCGACCTGTAAAACAGGACCTTTGACGCCAGGGTGAGGCTTCGGCGGCTCCGCCACAGCGCACCTACTGACTTCCGCACCTGCTGGATTGTGTGATTGACGTGAGGCTCCCAGGAGAGCTGCCCATCTACCATTACGCCCAGGTACCGCGCTTGTTCCACAACTGCAAGGGCTGCACTCCCACAGCGAATTCGAATGTTATCTGTGTCAGGGGCTGGGCCTCTTGGGGTAATCAACAGAGCTTGCGTTTTCTTTTGGTTCAGCATTAGTCCGCGGTCCTCCTACCACTGCGACAGGCCAGTGATGGCTGTGCTTAGAGAAGAGCACACTTGTTCGCAACTGCCCGAGGCTTCAATTGCAATGTCCTCTGCAAATTCCTGGTTTGTGACCTGCTGGGGCAAGCAGCATCGAAGGTTATGCTTGGTTGAAGCGTGCCCCGACCGATCCACTGCCGGCCGGCCCCGGCCTTGCCTCTGCTTCTGCCGCACCTTTCTCGCACCAATTTTGCTACTTGACCCTGCAATATGTTAGCAACCAGACGTACATGTACATGTACCTTTGTTTATTATTATTATTCGGTTTTTTTTTACATCGGAAGCTCAACAGTGCAGCTGCACAAATATGAAGAGGCCGAAGGGACCAAAAAAATATAATATTTATTATAATATCATGTACTCAATCTCATATATTATCATGTACTCAATATAATATCATGTACATGTACATGTACAACTCCGTTGATCCCCGAGAGTCATGTACATGTATAATACTCAATCTGCGGACAGCATGCTGTTTCGTTCTTTGTGAACTCATCAGCGCAGCACAGAGGAAATGAGGCCAAACCTGATAGCAATGGAAATAAAAATTCCAATCAGGCCCGAACGTACCTTGCCAGAGTGCTCAAAGTTCTCCTCAAACTGACAAGTCAGTGAGCTCTGCGTAATGCAGACAGTAAAGGCACCACCCCACATGAGAGTGCTCAACTACTACAAGAGCAGGAGCGAAAATACTCAATCTGCGGACAGCATGCTGTTTCGTTCTTTGTGAACTCATCAGCGCAGCACAGAGGAAATGAGGCCGAACCTGATATATATTATTATTATTAAAAGCATGTCCGCGTAGGTGGCGGGGGTGCCACTTTCGCTTATGCCATTCAGGATTGATGTCTGAAGAGTAATACGATACAATGAAATGACAGAAGTGACGTCAACAAAAGCCGTTAGCATTAACACCAATATGACTAATGGAAAACTTCATCCAAAGTATAAAATAAAATAGAACCTGATAGCAATGGAAATAAAATTTCCAATATATACAATCATGAATGTACACGAGTCACAGAAAACCACGCGTTTTGATTGTCGTAACTTAAAGTTTCATCAAGAGTACGGGGGGTTATGTACTCTTGGTTTCATGCCATATAGCAATCTTCAGATAACTGATTACAGTGATGCACAGTTAGTATGGTATTTATACACTAGCATAGGAATGAATCTGTGAAGGTTTGAGGTCTGGTGGGTGCAAAAAGTCCTGGATGGAAAATGTGCCAAACTCACATGGTCCGTGAGTGAGAAAAGAAATAATATGGTATGGCAGGAAGGCAAGCAAATGCAAGATGCCACCCACTTTGGTAAGCGCTTAAAATAAGTTGGAGGAGGGGAGATACTTGCTCTTCAATGCACCAACAAGACAGGTGCAAGATGGAAATTTCCACGCGCTGTGATGACTACACGTATAGGTGCTTAGAACAGGCGAGAAACATGAAAAGAAATGACCATGATGACGCGACGTCAAGCGAGGCAAGGTACTACAGTAACACCCATAATTAGAAGGGCTGCAGACGGGCGCAAATGGCTGTCGCGCGTCATGTGGTTGCAAGTCACGTGACTCCGTACCCACCAAGCAGGAACTAACTAACACTACGTTACTTGGCAGAGTGCCTGCACTTTGATACGAGCTCCGTTCGCTTGTTGAGGGAGGTGCTGCGATCGGATATGCTGATGTGATGTTTCTCTGCGATACATAGGTTGGAACGCTTGGTGACATTGGTGTAAGCCCGTGCACGCTCCTTGATGGACCAGCCAATCTCATACTCATACTATATGCATTTCTAGGGTACCCTGTAAGAAGGCCTTAGGCCTGTGGGGATTGCCCTATCAAAAATTTGATAATAATAATAATAATAATAATAATAATAATAATAATAATAATAATAATAATAATAATAATAATAATAATACACAGAGGCAATATGCTTTGGTTCTGCAAGAGTGCTCAATGCCTGATTCAGGCAGAGCGGCGTACACAAAGGCACACAATGAAAACCTTGGCAAATTTATTCCGTTGTGACTCCGAGTTTCATGGCTGAACCAATCATCAGACAACGATAATGGAATAGGAGGCAGCGCTGGTATATCTAAGTGGAGAGAGGTGTGATAATACGATAGCGAGAGGAGTAATCGCGTGAATGTATACAGGGACGGGCTATTTCAGAGGCAGATGCAGTAGGCGCAGGTCTAGCACTAACAACTACGCGCTTAATCTCGCTCATACACCACACACACACACACATACTAACACGCACACACATATACACACATACACGCACACACTAACACACACATACACCCACCCACAACACCCTAACTTGCACACGGGCGCACGCACACACAGGACACCCTCCCACCCACAACACCCTAACTCGCACACGCACAAACACACGCACACACGCATATACACACACCTATAGACACATGTCCACACGTATACACAGGCATCTGCGTTCGTATGACAAGTCTAAGCGCACACAAACTCCTGCAATCACGCGTCAAAAAACCCGCAGCGGTCATAGCTGTCTATGTACAGCCATATTGCGATGAAGAAGGCATTTGGTTTAGATAGAATGACCCCAACTGCATTAGTTTTACAACGGTGTCATCTGTATTCGTTTGAGCAACGAGTTAGGGGCCGTCCGTAATTATCGAACGTTTTTCACCAAACGAATTATTTTAGTTTAGACCCAACCCCTCCCTCCCTCCCCCTCAGAACGTAAAAAAGGTTTGACATATGCATGCATATTGCAAGTGTGTAACTGCTCCTATGGGCATGCACATGTATCAATGTTTTCTGAAACGAAATTGGTCAACCCCCTCCCACCCCATAACGAAATTATTTCGTTTTGTGAAAAAAGTTCGATAATTATGGACGACCCCTTAATTTGAAACTATACGTTTTGGTCTATCGCTGCTTGTCATCAATTACTAGCCCCCTCCTTCAGTCTCTGTTTCTCCTGCGTTCAGTTGGCCCGCACACAAATGCTCGTACTCGTGGCCAGGATACAGCTGCCTTAGTATTACCTACTGTACATATTGGGTATGGACTGCGCTCAGTTTCTTTTCTGGCGGCAGGTCGGTGGAACACTCTTCCTCCAAACTGTCGTCAGGCACAATCTGCTGGTACTTTTGCTCACCTCACAAAGATTCATCTAGGGTTCCCTGTAACAAGGCCATGCCTGTTGGGACTCCCCTAGTCAAATAATAAATACTACTACTACTACTATGTAATAGGGGTGGCCAGCAGAAACTTGCGCTGGTGAGGGCATTTAGATACCAGCTCACTTCTCTTGTTTAGGGAGGCAGCTATGACCGCTGCGGGTTTTTTGACGCGTGATTGCAGGAGTTTGT